AAATTTAGTGCATTAAATTGATCTTATAAACATCTATTACGTTCGCTTTTCTTGTTGGTCCATATATGGACCAGTCCCGGAGCGAAAAGGTTAATAATAAGTTTTACGGCTCTCGGAAATCAAACAACGCAAAATTTTTGATCACTAAAAGTTATACGCTGAATAATTGTTCCGTACTTTGTATATACAATATATACAGAGTGTTCCAGAATTAGTGTAGCATCTCTCGTGAACACATAGAAAGAGTAAAACAGAGTCAAAAAGTATATATATACAGGGTGTCCCAGAATTAGTGTAGCATCCTCGTGAACACATAGAAAGAGTACAACAAAGTCAAAGAGTATTATAACATTTTCCTTACTTCGCAATAGTTACCGAGATCTTACTTAACAAAAATCATCGAATAAACAAACACTGATAAAATCATCTTATTTAAGATAAAATCATCTTTTAAGAAATAAATTCATCCTATTTAAGATAAATCATCCTTTTTAAGATAAAATCATTTTTTTAGATAAAATTATCTCTTAAAAAATAAAATAATCTTTTTTAAGATAAAAACATCTTATTTAAGATAAAATCATCTTTTTTAAGATAAAATTATCTTTTATAAGATAAGATCATTTTTTAAGACATAAATTCATCTTTTTAAAAATAAAATTATCTTTTAAAAGATAAAATCATCTTGTTTAAGATAAAATCATTTTTTAAAAGATAAAATCATCTTTTTTATAAGATAAAAACATCTTATTTAAGATAAAATCATCTCTTAAAAGATAAAATCATCTTATTTAAGATAAAATCATTTTGTATAAGGTAAAAACATTTTACATAAGATAAAATAATCTTTTAAAAAATAAAATTATCTTATTTAAGATAAAATTATCTTTTAAAAAATAAAATCATTTTTTTTAAATAAAATTATTTTATTTAACCCTCGGGGAACACACCTATTTTTTCAATCAAGAAGAACAATCTGGGTCAATTTGACCCTGTCCACTTTTTGAGATGCTACCATT